TTTCTGTCCCTCGTTGAACATCGCCGAGCTCACCGCTGCTGTATCAACGTACCCTTGTCGTGCGACATCATCGTATCCACATGCTCCCCCTGCGCGCACATGTAACTAGATTTAATTAACTAGAAAATATATCTTGACCCAAAAAAAACCTAGAAAAGATATCATATACTCTTCCGGTCCTAAATACATGACCCTTATACACACTGGTATAAGGGTCTTATATTTAGGACTGAAGGAGTGTAATGTTAGTTATATAGTAGTATCAATTAGAATTTTGCAATGCTTGTTACACGCACACACCGTATGATGTGGAGCTTCCTTCGTAGAAGGTGGCCTGAGCTTTCTTCCATGGACCTGGGAAAGTTGCGCGCACGCAAGGGAGCGGAACAGCCACGAGAAAGAGGAAGGAGGAGGCGAAAAGGGTGGTAAAAGAAAAGGCCATGGTGACAATTGAGGTTTACCAAATATTATTGTCGTGGGTTTCTGTTTCTGGTGTGTGCATGGGATCTCTTATCGTAGAAATGTTTTGACTAAATATATATGCGGTACAAGAAATTGGCAATATTAAGTATACTTTTCTTGTTTAGGCACAGGGGCGAGATTTTCACTCTGCGCCTCTCTTACCATATGAGGTCGCCAGCCACAGGCTATTGTTGGTCGGATATTTTCGGCATCAGATTGAAAAAAATGGATTATCAAATATCTTGTTGTTTAGGTCTTTTATTACTAAAATATGAAATTTAGAAAATAGAGAATGGGCCCGCCGGGGGGGGGGGGGAACCTAAAAACCACAGGGAGACACAAATGTACACAAACTTTTCTGTATATATAGTAATGGACTAATGGGACTACCAACGCATTTTCATGCAGAAGCTCAAGCTGCGAAAATCACTTTTCTGAACAAGTGTCCTTACACAGTATGGCCGGCAACGCGAGCCGATGACCAGAGGCTCTAATTGCCCACGACCGGCCTTGAGATCGTGAAAGTACCATCCTCTTGGTCTGGTCGGTTCTCAGCTCGAACTGGATGCTCTGCTGACTTTGGCAAGGTCGCCTGCTCCGCCGCGGACCTTAGGCCCCGATGAAGATAGATGGCCAGATGCCATGGTGCCGGTGGGCCCCAACTCTTCGGTAACCTGGTTTTAGTTGTTGGGCCAGGTGATTAACAAAATCCTAAGAAAACCCGTGTTAAGGCTGGGCCTTAGGCTGGGATAAGTACCATCGCGATCTGGCCCCCATGCACAAGCTCGCACCCATAATTGCAAGGGGATTTTAAACTTTGTTAATGTTAAATAAAATAAAACAGTAATTAATGAGCCTTGCGCGCACAGTAGAATAATTTTCTGGAACATTTTATGAGGTGTTTGGATATCACAAGAAATACTTTTTAAAAGCACTTTTTTACAAATCGAGATAAACTCCTTCACATATTTATTTTGTATACTGTAGAATTACTTTTAAAACTATAGTGTGGTTTTGATTCAAACACATTCTTAATATAAAGTGAATGAAGCAATCAGAATTGGTTTATTTAATATCTTTTTTTTTTCAGTGAAATGTTTTATTTAATATCTTCAAAGTTCAAACACAACTTTGAATTCAGCTTTCCCGGCTAATGCTCGTTGATTAATTTTACCCACTCTTTACCTTCTAAGACCCGCAAAAATTATGGAATTAGAATTAATTAATGCAACTAACGGAGTGTAGTCTTCTTTCATGGATTGTGTGGCGGGTTTGGTTTCTTCAGAATAAGTGCTCTTGTAACGAACCGCCGCCATTGGTATTTCATCAGAACGATTGGGTACGCAGAGTAATAAGGGATCTCATTTTTATGAATACGTATGTCGACGGACCATGTTGTTGGCATTGTGTTCTTATTATTAGATCATTTTCAGTCTCCTCTATATTCTCCGTAATGGCTCAACTGGGTAATAAATTAAACTAAAATGCTTAATTTGAAACCAACCGCTGAGTTTAATTATCCTTGCGTGACCGCGACCTGGATGCCCATTATCTTCAACGCTAATAAATACTCTTTTGATTCTTAACGTATGACCTAATTAATTAATCTAAGTAAATTAATTAAAAATATTAGTTATATTAATTAACATGACTTTTTTTAAAAAAAAATATCCTAAGCATATTTTCTAATTTTGTCATCTCCTTTCTTACTTAATTATTGTTGAAAGAATATTAATATGATCAATTTGGAAAAAAATTGATAAACTTGTAAAATAGATATTATATGTAGAGTCAATATCGAGTTTTTAATTTAGCCTTACATTAATAACTAACATGGTAGAATATTGTTCGTAATGAGTAATCTTAATATGTCAGAGACTTGCACATGTTAGCCTTGGATTCAACATTCGAATGAAACACACGCACGCCTCCCAACCAGCAGCATTCTTCTGGAAACGTGGAAGTTTTATGATGGCATTGTTATTGATATAATTATTAATTAATCTCATATATCATAATTAAAAATGGAGCAGCCGAGCAGATGTTATTTGTACATATAAAATTAATTAAAGTAATAAGAGATAATAATGACATTGTTTTTTATATGTTTATAAAGAATTTTGTTTATACAACCATGCCCAAGCATTACGCCAAGATCAGTGATGGATAAATTAAAAGATAAACTCATGGGGGATGAAATTAAAGACGAAGTCAAGTCAGGGGAAGAAAATTGGACCTCAGCGCGCATTGGTTGAGGTATTGGAGTCAAGTCCAAAGTGACGCCAGGTCTGGTTTCTTCGTCAATCCTCAACCACATCGGGTTTCTTCTATGTTGAACAAACAAATGTTGTAGTGGAACAAAGATAAAATATGCCAAGCAAATGTGGATTTTTTTGAAGGCTGGTTAATTATAAAATAGACAGGTGTATATTATTGACTAATTTCATTCAAAACCCTTTTTTTCCGTGTGCAGAAAGTCCGTAAGAAATCCCAAATTAAATACCGCAATTGACTAGAAAACAGCCTTAATTGGATGGGCTCATGTTGTTCACCTACAAATTCATGCATCTATGTAATAACATTATAATATTTCAGTTCATGAAGTTTCTAATTTAATCTTTAAGTTATCTTTATAAATAAAGACATGTAGAAAAGCTAGTAATAGAATACAAGGGTCACTGCAAAACCGCGTGTGGAGAAAAGATTTAGTTAATGGCACATGATTCGTTACTTGCATCAGTTAAAAGCAAATTTCCACGTCTGAAGAGAGAAAAGTATGGAATCAGTTGATCAGCTTCCATATTGGTGACTCTGGTTAGTTAAACTAATTCGTGTACACTTATTCAAATGTATGTTCAAATGCGTGGAAAAGCTAGACCTGAACAAACTGTATATATGTATCCAGTTGGAGGAGATGATATCCGCTACAGCTATCTTTCAGGAGTTAAATGGACGCTCCTGATTGCACAAACCAAAACGCACGGTTTCATTAACTTAACATGGTGAGTTACGTTGCAAATTTTGTTTTTGTGCAAGCGTGATGGATTGTTCTGGCATCCGATTATACAGTATATAAAGTAAATATGTAATAAAAATTATTTTGATTTGTATAAAAACACTTTAACAAGTGCTTATGGGGTTGATAAACAATTCCGTACAACAAAAAAGGTTAAAATAATATCACAGATTGCGCGCGCAGGCATGGGATTATATATATATATATATATATATATATTAAACTTAAGTGTCCCATTATTTGCATAATTATTACTCAGAAAGTAGTAGCGTAACTAGTGTTGTGAATTGTGACCTGTGAACAAATATACAATTTACTATATCTTCGTTATTAATTGATTTGATATCATATCAGTAATATTTATAAAAACAGAACGGTGCAGCTTGGAAAGAACGAAGCAAAGGAAAATCTAGTTTATTGTGTAAAAATAAAAGAGAGAAAAAACCTGCCTTAACATTTATGCTCTCCTGTTTTATGAAGATGATTCCCCCCGCAATTCTTCATTTGAAGCTCCCATTTTCTGAACTTTGCGGCTATATATGACTTGCATAAAAGAAGTTTTGGTGCGTATGTTACTCCTCTGGTCCTATTTATAAGGCAGAGTGAGATGGTACTTTTTGATCCTATTTATAAAATATTGAGAGAAATTTTTTGTATTGATGTATAATTTTATCCCTAATTTATTATTGTGCTGACTTTATTTACATGAAGTATAATGTATATTAAATAAGGATAAAGTTGAAAAGTTATTAAATTTTAAATGAAAGTTAATGAAATTTGAGGTTTTCCTTAGTTTGTGTAAAATATGCTGAAAGTGTCTTATAAATATAACCAGAAGGGTACTTGTTAACTAACTGGTGGTGACAAGAAAAATAAAATGACAGAAGTGCCCCTTCTGTTTTCTCCATTACTCCTCCCTAAAACAAGGCAGCTGTGTCTACTTTTCATGGTAATCTCTCAAGTTAATCATATTTATAAATCACTTATAATATATTTTACACGGACAAAAGAAAAACTTCAAATTTTATTAACTCTACCTTAAAATTCAACCATATTTTAATCTTATCAATATTTAATAAATATACAAAGTTAATACAATAATAAATAAATAGTGAAATTGTACATTCATGTAAAAATTTTCTTTCTTTGCCTTATAAATAGGACTAATTTTTTTTTTCTTTCTCTGTCGTAGAGGAATACATTAATTGATCAAGCAAAATCAAACCACTTGTCGTATATAATATAATATGAATTGTGAGGGTGCTCCTTAATTACATATTAATGGCAGAACTTTAATTTTATATATTAATTACTACTCTATTTGGGTTTGGGCAGAGTATGGATTTTCAATATACTTAATGCGTCCACTTATGCTCAGAAATGAATGCTCCCCGATGCACCATGGACACGTGACAAAGGCTCACTCTCTGATGCTAGCTTCATCAAGCCAAGCTGCCTCTATATATACATTCCCTCCATCGCCACCTCCAAACTCCCACTTACATTACCTTCCTTTACCACCATGAATACTCAGCCTGTTCTCTCCCTTACCCTGGCCTCCTTCTTCTTCTTCTTCGGTATGTTCGCATTTATATATACCTCTTCTGTCTTCCTCTAATATTTCTCTCATCATCACTTTATTCTTCTTCCTTTTAATGTCTCTTCTTTTTTAAACTCTTCTGGTCCTATTTATAAAGTACTTCCAGCATGTTTGACATAGACTAAAAAAATCTTAAATTTTATTAGCTCTCATTTAAAATTTAATGACTTTCTGACTTTATCCCTATTTAATATACATTATACCTTGTATAAACAATATAATAAATAAAGAGTAAAATTATACATCCATATAAAAAATTTCTCTTGGTGCCCTATAAATAGGATCAGAAAATATCTTTTCTCTTTACTATTTAAATAGGACCAGAGGAGTAAACACTAGTAGTTGACCTATATTTAAGTTATATATTAAGTTCACGTTTGATTGTGCATGTATTCTCGGAATACTAAACGCATACACACATTTTAGCTGCGTAATGTTCAATAACGCACACGCGTTATCATGCAGGAGCTCAAGCAGCCACAATCACTTTCACCAACAGGTGCCCATACACTGTATGGCCGGGAACTCTAACCGGCGACCAAAAGTCTCAACTACCCACAACTGGGTTCGAGTTGGCTAGCGGAGCGTCCAACACTGTGGGCGTTCCGTCTCCATGGTCGGGCCGCTTCTGGGCGCGAAGCGGCTGTTCTAATAATGCCGGAAAATTCACTTGCGCCACCGCAGACTGTGGCTCCGGCCAACTAGCATGCAACGGCGCTGGTGCGGCCCCACCCGCAACCCTAATGGAACTCACCGTAGCGGTAAACGGCGGACAGGATTTCTACGACGTGAGCAACGTGGACGGGTTCAACGTCCCCATGTCCATAGCTCCGCAAGGTGGAACTGGAGCGTGCAAGCCATCTAGCTGTCCGACGAACATCAACGCGGCGTGCCCGGCGGAGCTGCAAGTGAGGGGCTCAGGTGGGAACGCGATCGCGTGCAAGAGCGCTTGCTTGGCTTTCAATCAGCCTCAGTATTGTTGTACTGGGAGCTTTGGGACGCCGGCTACTTGCCCTCCCACTGATTACTCAAAGTTTTTCAAGCAGCAATGTCCTGATGCTTACAGCTACGCTTTTGATGATAAGAGCAGCACCTTCACTTGTTCTGGAGCTCCTAACTATGCCATCATGTTCTGTCCTTGAACCTGAGGTTGAAGATGATCTCTCATAATTATCATTAAGTGCTCTACATGATATATAATAATGGCAGGAAATATGTATCGTGAGGAGGGAATGAATCGCTGCATTTAATGGATGGTGAATATTGTACTATCGTAGCTTTGCGTATTAATAGTTATACATGTATCTTTCAGTTACTGTATCTACAAAGATGTAAATACATATATTATTATTAATTATAATAATAAATTATGTTTCTTTTGACGACTTTCTGAATGCCTCGGCTTCAGAGCGCATATACGTATACGAGTTGTTAGAGAACATGAGAAAAGAGGAGTATTAATAATTGTTTCTACAAGTGTTGGAAAATTTGTATGAGCTTTTCAAGTTACTTGTTTTTTTCTTTTTGAAAAAAAAAACGGCGTTATTAACGGTCCATTAAAATATCTGAGCCCAAATTACATTGTGCAGTACCAACGCGGTCATATAGACATACTGCCTTCGTCCCTTATTATAATATCTAATTTTTTGAATAAGTTTATCCCATTTTATAAAATCCTTTTTGAGTTTGTCTGAGCATTTAATGCAGTATTACCTATTTTACCCATAATTTAATGTATTGAGTACATTCTCTTTCTTTATTTATATCACGATTACTCTCTTACATTTATCCATTTATATATAGGAGTATATTTGGGGGGAAAACTGCATTTGCTGCATATTAATTACTTTTAACTAATTTTAACTGTTTTCTTAAACCGCACAATTTAGTTAAAAAGATCTTATAATAAAGGATGGAGTAGTATAGTTATCAGGTGAGACAAACGAGTTAATTTAGCTAGCAAAATTAAAGCGTGAGCCATTGAGTTTTATTAAACCATGTGGTGCTATTAGGGCTCAGTAAGCACTATTTAATAATGAGGCTAGGTTCTTTACTCGTGTGGATGAATTTTGTTCACTGTAATTTCCGCTAAAATAAGTTGTTTACTATGATACAAAATTGGGATATTTTGATAAACAATTATCCAGAGAAATATTTTGATCCCGGCAATGGCCATGACCCCCAAAGTTTCATTTTTTTCAAATACCATCAGGATACAAGCGGTGAGAGATAAATATACAGGAGCTTTCCTTTTCCGTCTAGTTAATCAACAAATTCCACCATACTTGTTATTGTTATATCAACTCATTGTGATCTTGCTCATGTACAGTTGTGATAAGTAGCATTGACTTTTTAGTAGCGGTTACATTTTGAACGCTACTACCTCCCAATTCAGTATTAAAAATATTAGTTAAATTAGTTATTTATAATAAATATATGTCGTTTGGCCCAAATGTCTTTGTTAATCATATACTACCTCCGGTCCTTAATATAAGACTCTGTTTGACTTTTATTTTTTGATCCTAAATATAAGACCCCAATCCACTTTGTCTCTCATATTTATATATATTTTTTTTCCAAAGTAGCCCTCATAACAATGATAGTTCTAGTCAATAAACTTGATCAGCAAGGATATTTTAGGAAAAATAACACCTATTTAGGACAAATAACTAACTCAACTTACTTCCTAAATCTCCTCAAATCAGTCAACTGGCTCTTATAATTAGGACCGGAGGTAGTACGTTGAAATTATCCATTAATGAATGTGTAATCATCATGGGGATTACTTAGAAGCAAAATAGATAAATATCATAGACAAAGTAAAATGATGTCTTATATTTAAGATTAATTTGAATATCTAGCTAACTTTTATATTAAAAATAAGGAGACGTAGTTATCTATACATGCGATATATAAATTGAGCGTTTGTTCAGTAGCCCCGGTGCTATGTATATCGACACGTAAATGGGTTTGAAGGCATTCAGAAAATTGAAAGAAACATTTATATATATATATATATATCTCCTTCTCCAGATACAAGAAAGATGTATCGATAGTACAGGATAAAATCACCAATAAGAGCGGCCAATTTATTCTTCTCATCAGACCTTAATTATTTATTTCATGCCATTATTATTTGTTACCTGGATATATAATTAATAATATGAGAGCCCATCATCTCGCCAGCGTTCAAGGACAGAAGGTAATGACATAGTTAGGGCCTCCAGAGCACGTGAAGGTGCTGTTCTTGTCATCATAAGCGTAGCTGTAAGCATCAGGGCACTGTTTCTCGAAAAACTGGGAGTAATTGGTGGGTGGGCATTTGTCTGGCCCGCCGGCGAAGCTCCCAGTACAACAGTACTCGGGCTTATTGAAGGCCAAGCAAGCACTCTTGCACGCGATCACCTTCCCATCTGAGCCCTTCATTTGCAGATCCGCCGGGCACGCAGCGTTGATGTTCGCCGGACAGCTTGACGGTTTGCAGTCGCCGGTACCGCCTTGCGGAGCTATGGACACGGGGACGTTGAACCCATCCACGTTGCTTACATCGTAAAAATCTTGTCCCTTGTTTGCCGCCACAGTAAGTTCGACTAGGGTCGCGGGTGGGGTTCCACCAGCACCGTTGCATGCCACTTGGCCGGAGCCACAGTCTCCTGTGGCGCAAGTGAACTTGCCCCCGTTATTAGAACAGCCGGTTCGGGCCCAGAAGCGACCCGACCATGGAGATGGAACGTCCACAGTGCTTGACGCTCCGTTTGTCAACTCGAACCCGGTCTTGGACAGTTGAGGCTTCTGGTCACCGGTTAGGGTTGCCGGCCATACTGTGTATGAGCATTTGTTGTTAAAAGTGATTGTGGCAGCTTGAGATCCTGCTTGAAGTTAAACATATATGTGCATTACAACGTGATGTATTTAAAACATAATAAACAGAAAAGTAATATAGAAATTAAAAGGCGAGAAAACAGAGAAGGTGAAAGAAGTTAAAGGAAGAGAAGGAGGCCATGGTGAACATACCAGAGAAAAAGAAGAAGACCAGAGTAAGGGAAAGAACAACTTGGGTATTCATGGTATGAGCATACGATGTTGGTAATAATAGGGAAGGTATATGTGTGTGTGTGATCTGTGTACGAGAATGAGAAGGGGCGAGGAGGGAAGAGGCGTATATATAGGCACCAAGGCTTCAAATGTTGGACTGTGTGATCAGGTAAATGTCCATGGCACTTCCGTGTACGCATTCAGCATTGAAAATTCATAAACTAACACTGTCTCTCTCTCTCTCTCTCAAAAAGGACAGATTTCCTCGTCTCTTCTGCCACAGATATTCAAGGAGTGACTCGTAATTTACATTCTAGTCTAGATGTTTGATTTTAGATAATCTCTTCGTTACTTTTTAACTAAATAATCCTATTTAAATAAAAATTAAATCCATGTATAATCTGTATGTATCCATTTCAAAAGAAATTTTTAATTTACATCTGTCCTACTGGAATCTGATCTGCTCCAACTTTCTCACTTTGTGAGCATTTTTTGTCTCATCACATCACCAAATTTTCCTAGACTGGTTTGAAATAGTTTACGGAAATATACTTATACTACCTCTTGTTCTAATTATAAGAGTTAGTTGACTAATTTGAAGAGATTAAGAAAATAAATTAAGTTAGTTATTTATCATAAATAGGTGTTGTCTTTCCTAAAATATCCTTTTTAATCTAGCTATTAAAATTTAATCTGTTCATTATAATGAATAATGTTATATATATATATATATAATGCTTGAGGGGAAAAAACGGTGAGGTTTTCATTCTGATAAGTAAGCATCGTGGGAGCAGGGTGAGGGAGGGCATGGAACAAAATGCGGCCGCCAGCTGTTGCGTTACGTGAGATAAGTCAATAGCTCGTCCATCTGTCTATTTTAGTTTCAGGCCCAAAAACAAATTAAATGCCACCATTTTATTCAAGTGTCAATTTTAATTTATGTTTGTTTCCCAAGAAAATCTAACCATGGCGTCTTTGATTCAGTAGAACCTGCGATTGTTTGTCTATTCGATCATTAATAAAAGGGCTCCACCCTTTTTTACGTGGCCGGCAAGCAAGATTGTAAATATTAATCCTTTAATTTAATTTTTTTTCCTTAGCGAAGATAATATAATCCTTGTTTATAATTTGGACGGGATCGATAATGCTAGTCCAACGTGGTGGGAACACAAGAACTGAGCGCCGAGGAGGAAAGCCTTTGGGCCCGAAATTTGTGGGTGAAACTGACGTACATCCGATGTCGCTTTGGACTTGACTACTTGAGTACTCCACTTCCTTCCGCACCTCACTGATGGATGCCTTGAATCAATTTAATACTTTTATTTTCAACATAAGTGTATATTTTTACGGATAAGAACTGAGTCTAATAAAAAAAAATTAGTCTCTTATAATAGGATGAACCGATATTCAAATCCCTACTAAGAAAAGTACTTACAAGTAGTACTCAACGATATTTTAAATAAAATTGTTTCTAATACATGATACCTATGCCTAGTAAAAAAAAGTGTATGTTTTTCTTAAAAAAGAAAACATCTGTATGACTATTAACAACAAAAAAGATATATATATACACATACACACATATCTATGTATGTACTACCTCTTGTGTTTAATATAAAAGTTAATTAACTAATTTAAGTAGATTAAGAACGTTTGTTAAGTTAGTTATTTATAATAAATTAGTGTCATCTTCCTTAAAATACCCTTTTTAATTATATGTATAAAATATTAACTAAAATTGTCATTTAATGAAACATGTAACATATACAACTACTAAAAAGACTACTTTAAAAAAAAAAATATGATAGGTTTGATGGACTGGAGTCTTATACTTAGGACAAAATTAAGAGTCAAACTAGCTCTTATATTAAGAAGTACTACCTTTTGTCCTTAATATAAAAGCTTATTTAATTTTCAACTTAATTCTAAATATAAAACCTCAATCTATTTTATCTCTCATATTTATTTATTTTTTCAAGTTAATCCTCGTAATAGTTACAGATGTTAAATAATTCATCAAATGTCATTTGATTAATAGGGGTATTTTAAGAGAAACAATATCTACTTATTATAAATATTTAACTTAAAATAATTAACTAACTCTTATATTAAGGATTAGACGAAGTATATAAAATCACATATCAAATGTTTTAAGGCGTGGGTCTAGCCGG